TTGTAAAAAAATAAAATATAAATATTGTAAATCTTATCAAAAGAAATTTTTTGGACAAATAGACTCACCTTTGTGTTACGTTACTATTACTATTGACTTCTCTCTATTAGGTTCTCTTTTTTATTTTTATATATTATTATATAGGAAAAATGTTTTTTTTATTTTTTTTATATTTTTTATAATGTAACCTACCATTGCTATTTTTTAATGTGCATCAAATAAGTTATAATAAAAAATCATATGTGACAAGTTAAGACAGATTTGAACTTAGTAGCATTGTGTTATCATAAGTTCGATCATCCATTATCTAACATTACTTTTGTGTTATTATTACAATTGATGTCTTTTTATTAGCTCTCTTTTTTATTACATATATTATTATTATATATGGTTAAAAGGAATAAGATTGACAGTGAAAATTTGTAAAGATTGTTTTCTCTCAATTCTATCAAAATCCAAAATATGCCATTTTTTGTTCTATTCAATTATACCATTTTTTTCTTAAAAAGAAAATATTGGATATGAGAATCAGCCCCAAAATAGGTTCAACTTCTTCGAATTTTATACAATGTGAAAATATGAAACCATTGGTGATTAGCACAGTTTTGAACATAGTTGTCACGTGGTCAAAACTCCAGTGTGCGTATGTGCATGATTCTGTGGTTGAATGAGTGCAAAAGAAGAATAAACAACACACATGATTTGTTAATCCAGTTAGATGTTGAAACCTACAACTAGGGATATCAATTCATGAGTCTTTCACTAAACCTGCACCAGGTTTACACCATCAAGATACCAAAAGAATCGATCCAACATATCATCTAAAAAAGATCCCCTTATTTTACAAATACAGACGGACTGGTTGTTACACAGCCGTAACGATACTAGTAGACTCACAGTCAAACTCCGAGTAAGATTGTCTTCATGTTGGTGATATCCTTGTAAGAAATAATTGTTAAATCGAATAAATTAAGCGGAAGCGAATTAAATTAACCCCCAACCATTACTTCAAAAGGATTCTGAATCTTGGATCTCCCTCTTCTAGAAACCAATAGATTGGAACCCTAGGAAGATGTTAGGAAGGTGTTGTCATACCCTTGCTCTTAAGTAGCGATTGTGTATTATGATTTATGAGAGTAGATATAGTAACTCGTATGTGAGAGTATGTATTATAAGAAGAAAAACCGTCAATCACAATTTTTCTGCCACTTCTCCCATAAATTCTCAACGTGATGGATTTAATGAGAGAAAAAGTGGCCCAAAATTTAGGGTTAGTTTAATTATATAAGATAATATAAAAATAATCAAATTGATATATATCTATATTAAATATCAAAATTAAAGTTGATTAATTAATTAATTAATTATACTAACATTCTCCCACTTGGCCCATTTAAACCATCACAAACATACAAAAAACTTTACATATGAATCATGGCAGTAGGTCTTCTATAAATGAATGTTACCTTTCATGTATCACGATATGTCATCTCAAACTAAATTCATAACTCAATGAATAAATCCTATATTTATTCCGAGTTAAATTGAAGTGAATTTTCTTAAGAACAAACAAATATGTGCACAATAAAATGAGAAAACACTAAACTAAATATATGTTATGTCACGTTTGGTGCAAACATGAGCATACATAAGACTTTCGACTGTTGAAGCATAAGGAATATTTCTCATGTGTTCCATTTCAAAGTTATTTTTCGGACACTGACTTAAATCGAGTTTGTCACCCTTCATAATGGGAGCTACACTCAGTGAACAATCTTTCATATTAAATCTAGAACTTTCTTGATATAGGCTTCTTGAGACAAACCCCAAAATGTCTCGATTTCTATCTCTATGGATCTTAATGCCATTGACGTAAGATGTCTCTCCCATATCTTTCATATCAATCTTTGGAAGAAATTGGTTCACCTCATATAACATCCCTTTATTATGAGTCATAAGCAAAATATCGTCCACGTACAATGCAAAGAAGCAAATACCACTCCCACTAACCTTCTGGTATATCAATGACGTTTTCTTTAAAGCCAAATGAAGAGATAACATTATGAAATTTTAAATACCATTGACGGGAAGCTTGCTTCAATCCATATATAGATTTATTAAGCTTACAAATTAAATTTTCTCCACCACTAAAGGTAAATCCTTCAGGTTGTTTCATATAAACCTTTTCCTCTAGATCATCATTTAGGAACGCCGTTTTCACGTCCATCTGATGTAACTCAAAACCAAACTGAGCTACTAACTTGGTCATATGCTATCATGTGTTGAAATACGAATTACTTCAAATTAGTATGCTAATCTGATTAAATCAACATTACTGATTTGACTCGGTGAGCACTCTAACCGCCGTTTATATTTTTTTTTTAATAATGTGAGTCTTAGGTCTTATAAAATCCATTCCAAATACACCTTATTGTAATTTTCGAAAGAATAATCATAATAAAGTTAAGGAAAAAATTTTCATAACTCCCATTTGGTTTCGAAACTCAGCATCAATTCCTTTTTACTTTAAAAATTGCATGACAACCCTTTATACTTTATGAAACTCACTATGAAACACCTATGTGGTTTCGAAACCCAGCATAAATTCCAACTTTACTTTAAAAATTGTGTAACGCCCCTTATATTTTAAAAAATGTTGCATGAAACCCCGCCATGAAAAAAATATAGATAGAGAATCATTTTCTCATCACACAAGGGAGGTTTCATTGCGGTGGGGTTTTCTATAACATTTTTTAAAGTATAAAGAGGTGTTATACAATTTTTAAAGTATAAAAGAATTTTATGTTAAATTTTGAAATCACGAGTGAATTATGAGAAATATTATCTAAAATTAAATATTTATTTAATCACATGTTGAGAGTATTTTAAATTGTATATATGATTTTTTTTAAGAAAAAAATGATCTGAATATTATATTTAAATAATATTTAATATAATATTTTATACCAAATATATTTTCTTTCAAAAAATACAAAATCTAAATAATAAAAGCTAAAAAACTTCCATCAAATAAACATGCCCTTAGATTTATATATATATGTATATATATATAAGTTGGAACCTAAAATTTGGAGGTTCCAAGACCATTCGTCGATTCGTTGGTGCGGGTTTCGAAAGTACTCCAAAGAGTCTGTCCGTTGTCGGATTTGGGGCGGCTCCTTCGGTGGAGCCTGCACGGCTTCGAGCCTAAACGACCGATTTCGATGGATTTAATCTAAAATCTACTAAAACTCGGATAAATCTACTGGAAAGCGGATAAAAACATATTGCAAGAAGCATAAAGGCAAGTAATTCGAATTAAAATGCATAAACGGAAACTAAAAACTACGAAAAAGTAAAGAAATATGCAAGTTCATCTTCTTGTGCGTATGTGTGATGTTTTTTTCCTAATTTTAATCCTAAATTAGAATAACTGCCTCTTCCACTAAAAGGAACAGTTCCAATTATTCTTGCACTATTCTCAACCGCCTAGTAACCTCCCACTACTACCTCCAACTGCCTAGTAACCTTTTTCCACTACCTCCAACTATCTAGTAACTTCCTTCCATCAGTTCCCTAGTAACCTCCTTCCATCAACCACCAGGTAATCTCCTTCCATCAGCTCCCAACCGCTTCCATTGCCTTTGGACCGGATTCCACTTGCTCTAAACTTCTTCCATTGCCTCTAGACCAAATTTGTCGCTTACTCCGACTTATTTTTATCGTACTCCTAGCTGGTCCATGGGGATGTGTCCCCAACAACCTCGAGTTACATGGAATTTTCAGTTTTCCTCTTGTTTGCATGTTCCATGGAGCTTTTTGAATAGAGTATGAAAGTGTATAGGCCCTCCACTATTGTTCAGTATGAAATTATTAACCCAGAGCCAATGGAGGTAGTTATCCCATGATCTGTGGAAGTTGTTGTTTTCTATCTTGTGGAGGCAACATTCTTCTACTTTGTAGAAGCACCGCAGTCCAATGGAGGTAGTTGTTTTCAACCCAATAGAGACAACAATTTCTGAACTTATGGAAATATTGTTCCGGGATGGAGACGTCATAGTCCATGGAGTTGCTACCTTAAAGTCCATGGAGGTTGTTGCTTTCGGCTCTGTTGAAGCACTACAATCCACTTGAAGCTGTTGCCTTCGGCTCTGTGGAGACAGCAGTTTTTGGCTCCGAAGCTTGAAGCTCCATTGCTGTTGAGCGGCTCCATGGCCAATAAGCTCTGACTCCACTTTTTTCTTTGAGCCTCCTTCACGTTTAGGTGTTTTTGGATCAATGTCCAACAATGCTCTCCTCAAAAGGGCTGGGCGAATGCTTCTATTGAGCCCATGTCCTTTTGCTTTGAGCCGTTCGCTTGAATCAACTATGGTTTCTTCTGTCGACAAGGGATCCTCCCCGGCCTTCACTTCTTGGACTTCATTTTCATCCCAAAACATCAACGTTTGATGGAGTGTCAAAGACACACACTCGCATGCATGAATCCAATTTCGTCCCAAGAGAGCCGAAAAGAATGGCCTACTATCAATCACCATGAAATTTGATGATATTTTCTTTGTCCCCACCTGCACATTCAAAGTGATCATACCTTCCGGTTTGTAAGAATTTCCCAAAAGATCGGTAGGCCGTACAAATGTAGAAATCAAATCGTCACTAGTCTTTTCGAACTTCCGTAGGGTCTCAATTGGCAACACATTCACAAAAGCTCCACCGTCCACCAGAACTTGGTCAAACGGATAGCCATTCATCGAGACCCGAATGTGCAAAGGCTTGACATGTTGGTTTTGGCCAGGCCTGAGCCTTTTAAATTCTATCATCGTTGCCACATCATTCCATTTGAAGATAGGCTCTTCGTCAACGACAACTTCTTCTAACTCTTGAACTTCTTCCAGAGGCTCCTCTACTTGCTTCCTTTTTTAAAAAGACTCCATAGGCTGGTTCCTTAGCGGCTCCACAGCCTGCTTTCTTTCTGGAAGTGGCTCCACAACCTGCTTCCTTTCTTAAAGCGACTCCAGAACTTGCTTCCTTAGCGGTTCCATAGCCTGCTTTATTTCTTGAAGCGGCTCCACAGCCTGTTTTTTCTTTGAAAGCGACTCCGCAGCCTGCTTCCTTTCTGAAAGCGGCTCCACAACCTGTCTTCTCTCTAAAAGCAGCTTCACAACTTGCTTCCTTGGCAGCTTCATGACTTTCTTTCTTTCTGGAAGCGGCTCCATAGCTTGCTTCTTTTCTTGAAGCAGCTCCACAACCTGCTTTTTCTCTTAAAGCGGCTCCACAGCCTACTTCCTGACAGCTCCATGGTCTGCTTCCTTAGTGGCTCCATGGCCTGCTTTCTTTCTGGAAGCGGCTCCACAGCCTGTTTCATTAGCGCCTCCATGGCCTGCTTCCTTTGTGGAAGCGGCTCTACAACTTGCTTCCTTAGCGGCTTCACAACCTGTTTTCTTTCTAGAAGCGGCTTCACAACCTGCTTCTTTGGCGGCTCCATGGTCTGATTTCTTTTTGAAAGCGGCTCCATAGCCTGCTTCATTTTTTTAAGCGGCTCCTCCATCTATTTTTCTTTCGGAGACAGCTCATGTGACCTTTCCTTCTCTATACGAGCCTTCAACTTTCTTCTTTGAGCTCGCCTCTTTTGAGTCCTAGTGGGTCTCCTTATTGCCCCCCTAGTGGAAAGCTTCGGCTCATTCACAATCCATTTTTCATTCTCTTTCACGATAGGAGGCTTCCGTGTAGCCTTGCGAATAATGGTGATCTGGTCAGCCGTGGTAACAGTCCAAATCCGTTTCCCATTTGTGACTTTCACTTCTGCTACGATGGCCTCCGGCTTGAGTCCTTTGTATACTTTATTCTTTTCCGATCCTGAGGCTTTCAGACTTTGGATGGTGACACCGACATTAGGGATCTTGACCGTCCTTTGTCTTACCTTCTCCATGTTCGAACTTGAGACTTTATCAAATGTCACTCTTGTGATGATGGTTTTTTCAGTGGGTGCCTTCGGTCATAGACAGTCTTGAACCGAAGGTTTTGACGGCTGGATGCTAAGCTTGTCTTTCATAAGCCCTTTAGCCGACATAGTATTAGCAAAAGGAATAAACCCTTTGGTTGGCTTCAATGCCGGACACAAATAAGTCTTTCCATTTGCTAATTTCGTGGCCAAAGCTTCTGCCTCCGCAAAATCCTTTTCGTCTGAAGTCACTAGGGCTTTTACCCTTGTAGGCTCCTTTTCGTATGGAACCTTCATAGCCTCTGGAGTCTCTTCCCCTGCAGTCTCTTTTTCGTATGGAGCCTTCATGGTTTTTGGAGCCTGTGTCCCTGCAGAGTCCTTTTCATATGGAGCCTCTGCTCTTACATCCTCCTTTTCGTTAGGAGTCTCCATGGTCCCTGGAGTCTCTACCTCCGCAAATTTTGGAGCTTCCATGGCTTCTGGAACCTCTGCCTCCGCAGACTCCTTTTCGGCTGGAGCCTCCACAACTTTTGAAGTCTCTACCTCCACAAATTCTGGAGCTTCCATGGCTTCTGGAACCTCTGCCTCCGCAGATTCCTTTTTAACTAGAGCCTCCATAGCCTTTGGAGTCTCTGTCTCCACAAGCTCTGGAGCTTCCATCGCTTCTGGAACCTCTGCCTCCTTAGGCTCCTTTTCGAGTGGAGCATCTGCCCCCGCAGACTCCTTTTCGACTGGAGCCTCCACAGCCTCTGGAGTCTCTGCCCTTACAAACTTCTTTTTCGTATGGAGGTGAATTTTTCGCGCTCAAAGTGGCACTAGGCTTCTTTTCAAACCTTCTTTTTGAAAATGTCCTCCTTATGCAATTTGCGATGACATCAACGTCCATTAGAGGCTTAGCCTCCTGTTGATTTGGTATCAGCGGCTGCCCTCTAACTGCCTGCTGATGGAAGGTTGGTTGCTGCATCTATGCGGCCTGCCCTCCTTGCCCCTGTGTTTCGATGATCCTCTTCCATTGGAGATTAGCCACGTTCGGACCGTGACATCCCCATGGTGGTGTTGCGCATTCCACATAGGTTGTCCGCTTAATCGCCCTGGCGGGATCATGCTAAATGCTGCAAATTTGCTTGCCCCTCATGGAGGCTTAGCACTGATATTCAACTCCAACGGCCAAGGGGTTTCAGCCCTCCGCAGCCTGTTGGCTCCATCACTTCTCAGGCTGTTGGCTCCAGCTATCCGCAATCTGTTGGTTCCAGCCTTTCGCAAACTGGTGGTTCCAGCCTTCCGCAGGCTAGTGGTTCCAGCCCTCCGCAGGCTTTTGCCAGCCATCCACAGGCTGTTGGCTCCAGCCATCCGCAGGTTGTTGGAACTTGCCTTCCGTAGACTGGTGGTACCAGCCCTCCGCAGGCTGTTGCTTCCAGCTTCCTACAGGTTGTTGGTTCCAACCTGATCTTGCCTGCCCCGGTCCTAAGGCGTGAAGCATTGGATGTTCTGAAACAATTTCGTAGCTTTTTTCAAGCGGTACAAATGAACCCCATGTCAACCTCGACATCACTCTTCGAAAAATCCGACTTTGGTCCCACTGGGCGTGCCAATTGTTGTATCCTAAAATTCGGAGGTTCCAAGACCATTCGTCGATTCATCAATGTGGGTTCCAGAAGTACTCCAAAGAGCTTGTCCGTCGTCGGATTTGGGGCGGCTCCTTCGGTGGAGCCTGCACAGCTTCGAGCCTAAACGAGACTTCGAGCCTAAACGACCGATTTCGATGGATTTAATCTAAAATCTACTAAAACTCGGATAAATCTACTGGAAAGCGGATAAAAACATATTGCAAGAAGCATAAAGGCAAGTAATTCAAATTAAATTGCATAAACGGAAACTAAAAACTACGAAAAAGTAAAGAAATATGTGAGTTCATCTTTTTGTGCGTGTGTGTGATGTGTTTTTTCCTAATTTTAATCCTAAGATAGAATAACCGTCTCTTCCACTAAAAGGAGCAGTTCCAATTATTTCTCCACCACTCTCAACCGCCTAGTAACCTCCCACTACTACCTCCAACTTCATGGTAACCTCCCACTACTACCTCTAACTGCCTAGTGACCTCCTTCCACTACCTCCAACTGTCTGGTAACCTCCTTATCAGTTCCCTGGTAACCACATTCCATCAACCACCTGATAATCTCCTTTCATCAGCTCTCAACTGCTTCCATTGCATTTGGACTGGGTTCCACTTGCTCCGAACTTTTTCCATTACCTCTAGACCAGATTTGTCGCTTACTCCGACTTGTTTCCATCGTACTCCTAGCCGGTTCACGGGGATGCGTCCCCAACAACCTCAAGTGACATGAAATTTTTGGTTTTCCTCTTGTTGGCATGTTCCATGGAGCTTTTTGAATAAAATATAAAAGTGCATAGGCCCTCCATTATTGTTCAGTACAAAATTATTAACCTAGGGCCAAATGGAGATAGTTATCCCATGATCTGTGGAAGCTGTTGTTTTCTATCTTGTGGAGGCAACTTTTCTCTTCTTTGTAGAAGCACCGCAGTCCAATGGTGGTAGTTGTTTTCAACCCAATGGAGACAACAATTTCTGACCTTATGGAAACATTTTTCCGTATGGAGACGTCATAGTCCATGGAGTTGTTGCCATAAAGTCCATGGAGGCTGCTGCTTTTGGCTCTGTGAAAGCACTACAATCCAATGGAAGTTGTTGCCTTCGGCTCTGTGGAGGCAGCAGTATTTGACTCCGAGGCTTGAAGCTCCATTGTTGTTAAACGGCTCCATGGCCAATGAGCTCTGCCTCCACTTTTGTATTTGAGTCTCCTTCATGTTCAAGTGTTTTTGGACCCATATCCAACAATATGTCCAACAATATATAAATATTCGAATTCGTAATTCTTATTTCTTTGTCGCGAATTAATTTATTAATTTTATTATCTTAATTTATTTGAAATCAATTTAATTTTTTTTTAGGAATTGTATTTATCACAAAATTTAAAAAACTACTATTTTTTATGCATTACTACAATAATACCGTAACTTATATGGTATAAAATATTATTAAAATTTTAAAATACAATTATCTATCCACTAATTATTTTAATTAATATATATATAGAAAATACTACTAATATTTTAAAATTTGTATGTAAAAAATACACGAATTACATACGAACTTGAAGGCGCATTACAAATCATGGTGGATGTAGTTGTGACGGCGACTCTGAATTGAATAATGCAGAGCAGCAGCCATAGTCGCGTTAAAAAGCGTATATAAGTATGTATATATATATATATATATATATATATGCATTTTAATTAATTAATTAATTATTGAAAACAATGTTCAACGACTTCCCCTAATACGACAGACAGACCGACCCTTTGTTTAGTTATCCAACCAAATTCCAAGTAGAAAGAGAGAGAGAGAGAGAGAGAGAGAGAGACTGGCAATGAGGTCAAAGGTATCTTATGCATGTTGTTATTATTTTAAGTTTTACATTTAATATTATTATTTTTAAATTAATTAGATAATTTAATTATATTTTAAATTTTTTAATATATAATTTTTAAAATTTTAATTAAATTAATTAGTTATAATTATATTGTAATATATTTATTTTTATTGATATATTTTAATTATTTAATAGTTTTATTGAGTTTTTTTCCTATATCTTTTGTTAAGCATCTTTAAACAAAATTAATACACTATGCATATTTATTATTTTTATATTATATACATAATTTTCTATTATTCACATATAATTTTTTTTCTAATAATTTTACAAAATAAATACACCAACTATTTTTAAAATTTTTGTGTCTATAGTGTTAGTGGCGTCATACATGATGAATAAAATATTATTTTTTATTTTTTTAAAATTTATATATTTTATATTTTGAATTCAAGTATATATATATATCTTGAATTTTAACCTAATTCAAGTAAAAAAAATTTGTATTAAATACTTTACCGGTCTCGGTCTAAAATATTATTGTATTTTTATAATATATTAAAAAATAATAATAATATTTTATTGATTACTTGAAATGTATATGATATTGTGATATTTTCACCTTTTGTAATTTATATATAAATTAATTATATATGTAATGATATATTTGTAATTTATGTAAAAATTAAAAATATTTTAGTATTATTATAATTAATTAATTTTCTTCGAATAAAAAATCAATAATTTTGAGTGGTATAAACAAAAATAGTAAAAAGAGAGAGAATACTAAGTAATTTATTTTAGGCAAAACAACATAAAAATTCTCACGTGTCTTGCTAAATTGGTTGAAAACACTACCTAGAAATCATTTAGCTTTGGAATTAGTTTCAGAAATTTCGAGGCTATTAAATATATAATAAATAAATATTAAATCAAATTTTGTTTTTCCGTCGGAATTTCTAAGACTATTTAAAATAGTTTCAAGAAACTATATTAAATATACATTTTATAATATTGAATGGTCTTGGAATTTTCCAAGCTATTTCGATTAGTCTCGAAAATTCCGAACATATTTTAATTAGTTTTGAAAATTCCGTAGCCTTTAATTAGGTTCGAAAATTCCGAACCGTTATTAGTCTCAAAAATTACGAGGCCTTTAATTAGTATCGGAATTTTGAAAATATTTTAATTTGTCTCGAAACTTCAGAACTAATTAAAATTAGTTTCGAAAATTCAGAACCTTAACTAGTCTTGGAAATTGCAAACCTTTATTTGTTTTGAAACTTCCAAACCTATTTTAATTAGTCTCAAAACTTTCCGAATCTATAAAATAATTATTCTCCTGCCATTATACATTAATTAATTTTGATTTTGATTTTATTTATATATATAATTATAATTATTTATTGTGTAAAAATTATATAAATAATAATTGATTAATTGTTGCAATATAACAATAATTAAAATAATAAATTTAACAAGTTATTAAATTAAATTTTAAATAAAAAATAAAAAATTATAAAAATATTGATGTATTAAATAATAAAATAAGAGAAAAAATCATTTTTGGTTCCAATATAACCAAAATTCATCAATTTTGGTCCCGGACCAAAAAAGATAATGTTTGATTATATTAGGACAAAAAATAATGAGTTTTGGTTATATTGTGACTAAAATTGATTAAAAATTTTATATTTGTACAAAAAAATAATGACTTTTGGTTATATTTGGACCAAAAATAATGAGTTTTGATTATATTATAACTAAAATTCATAAGATTTTTATATTGGGACAAAAATTGATGCATTTTAGTTATATTGGGACCAAAATAATTTTTTCCTCATAAAATAATGTATAAAATACATTTTTATCTCTTATATTCACTAATATATCAATTTTAGTCTCCTATTGGTTAAATTAATTCAATTTTAGGCCTTAGTTATTATTTTAATAATATTAAAACTAAAATTAATACGGATATATATAAATTTTAACTTTTATCCTAAAATAATTTAAATTTAATACTATAATTATATAACAAAAATTATAAAATTGAACATACAAAATAATTTTCTATTATTATTATTATTATTATTATTATATATTATTAATAATTAATTAACTATTTTATTAATATTAATTAATTATTTTAAATTATACAGCAATTTAATAATATATAATAATTTAAATTATAAATATATTATTATTACCAAAAACCCTAATTCACTCCACCGCCCTGCCTCACAAGTTCTTTCTCATATTCTTCTTCCTCACTTCCTTTTCTTCGTTCTTTCTTCCCTCCAAATTCAAAATAATTTCTCTCTTTCTTCATTTATTCTTCTACTCCTATATTCTTTTTTTTCTCCTCCCCCTTCTCCTCCTCCATCATCTTCTCCGGCGATGAAGGCAGTGGCGGTGGCAGCTGCAGCGGGGGAGGCCCGTCTTTCTCTTTCTTTTTCTTCTACTTCGGCGCGGTGGCGGGCAGTGGAGGCAGGTGGCAGAGGCCTGAGCT